AAAAAACAGTGACAAAAGGAGCAGGGTTAGATGTTCATGATGTTTTTTGGAAAAAAACAATTTCAAAGCAAATATACATCAATTAGTGCTTTTGTCTATACTGTATAGATGCTATAGGAGAGCAATCTGTAGAACAGAATTTCTCAGCCTTTCTCAACCTCAGGTCTCAGGGAATCCATGCATAAAAATTATTATATGTACCCCTCAAAAATGATATTTTCCCCCAATCATGATCTCATGGAATCCTAGAGGTCTAGGGAGCCTGATTGAGAAACCCTGCTATAGACAAGAGCTCTATAGGAGAAAAATCTGTGGTCCAGCCATTACCCTAGTATGGCTTCAATTGTGTTGATAGAGCTGGAGCTGGAGGACCTAAAGTGTATGTGCTGGTAACCTCAACAATGGATTTTTGCAATGCACTGTATATTGGGCTGCCTCTGTACCAAGTCTGGAAAGTTCACTTAGTTCAAAACACAGCAATCAGATTGATTACTGGAACATGCAGGAGTGATCATATTACACCAATGTTAAAATCACTCCTCTGGTTGCCGGTTAGTTTCTGAGCAAAGTACAAGGTGTTGGTTATTACCTTTAAAGCCCAACTTTGGGTCCAGGTTACCTACAGTATCACCTCCTCCCATGTAATCTGTCCCATATATTCAGGTCCTCTGGCAGACATTTAATCTGTCCCATATATTCAGGTCCTCTGGCAGACATTTATTCTAGTCAGCCAGCACTAGGTTGGCAAGTATCTGCCAGAGGACTTTTTCTTCAGCCACCCCTACACTGTGGAATGGCATGCCAGAAGAGATTCAATAGCAGACTACACTGTCCAAATTTAAAACATCATTGAAGACCAGTTTTTCCCAGCAGACTTATCCCAACAATTTTTAAATTGTGAATTCAGATGATGAATTTTAAATATGGACTGTTTTAAATTGTCTGTGTCTTATTTCTCCTTTTCAATTGCTGTGTTTTAATTAATGTGTTTTTTTGTTTGTGGTTGATTTGTTATTGTTCCCCACCTCAATCCATGAGGAGAGGTGGGAAATAAATAAATAAATGTTGTTGTTGTTACTGTTATTATAGTGTGACATCTAAATTGAATATCCAGCTTTGCTGCTGTAGGAATTTCCATATTATTATTTATTTCTGCGCTCAGGTACAATACAAAAGATCTTCTGATAAACACAAATCTAAACAATATCTGGCATTTATATTGTTATAACACCTACTTTTTCTGTAATGACATTCTGCTCTATTTCTCCTTGTCATCAGAGTCAGCTGGTCCTGTGCAGTTGCTGGATCAGTGCCTAAATGCTGTAATGGGCTGGATGAAGGCCAAGAAACTGAATCTGAATCCCAATAAGACAGGGTCTCTGTGAATTGGTGATTCTCAGGTACAGGAATTGGGTAAACAGCCTGTCCTGGATGGGGCTCCACTCTCCCTGAAGGAGTGTTTAGGAGCACTTTTAGATCCATCCCTGTCTCTGGAAGCCCAAGTGGACTCTGTAGTTCAGAGTGCTTGGTGCTAGCTTTGACTGGAACAACAGCTATGGCCTCTCTTGGACAGAGATAAACTAGCCATAGTAGTCTGTGGACTGATACCTTCCTGATTAGACTTCTGTAATGTGTTGTGTGGGGCTGCCCTTGGAGAAGACTCAGAAGCTGCAACCAGTGCAAAATACGGCAGCTGGACTGCTGACTAGAATATCATACTAGTCTTAAAAGAATTGCACTGGGTGCCAATATGTTTCTGGTCTGAATTCAAGGTGCTTGTGATGCCATTTAAGCCCTAAATGGCTTGGGACCTTGATATTTGAACTTCATTCCCTATATATCCATGCCCAAAGATTAAGGTCTGCTGGGGGGGGGG